TGTGATGCAGAAGAAGTGGGACACCCAGGCAGGAATCAATAAATTACATGAAATAAAACCTTATATTGGTTACACCTACTTGGGTTGTCAGTCCAGATTTGAGGAGGTCATTATGCGACGATGTCGCATTGGTCATATGCGTTATACTCATAAATACCTGTAAAAGGTGAAGATCCTCCGTTTTGTATCCCTTGTGATGAGAGAACCACATTCAAGCATGTCCTGCTTGACTGTGTTGAATTCTCCATCATAAGGGATAAATATTTCAATGTAAAAACAATGAAGGATCTTTTTACAAATGTTAATTTTCATTTAATTATTGTTTTTTTAAAAGATTGATTGATTTATTTGATGAATTTTGAGTAACGTATTTTGTAAATAGCTATATTGTAAAGGTTGGTAGTATATATTAGTAACTTAGATTGTGAGTGGCTGTACCCTCAAAGGGGGTTAAAGTACTGTAAAATTATTGTCCTCCTGAGAGGGTACGTAAGTCCCGAAACTTTCAAAGTAAATTTAAATTTACCTGATTTTTAAAACGTAGTATTTATGTTCTTTTAAAGTTGGCTAAACATTTCCTACAATCGCCAGCGGCTGAAGGGATGGTGTAAATCCAACTAGGGTCCATGCAGGTAGCAAAGGTACTGTAAGTCCCCATGGGCCCTAGTATGGTGATCTACCTTCAGTTGTTGGCGATCTATAGCCTATTTATATATTGTATTGTCCTCTATAGTTAAAATGTTTTAGATTTAATTACTAGTTTTACATTTATATCTGTGATATTCTAGTTGTTTTACTGTCCTTTGTCGACAGCTATTTAAATTGATTACCTTGTTTTCATCGCTATATGGCTGTAATATTGCCGATGCGATGTAAAATTTTAACTCACTCACTTTTACATAAGAAAAGATTCTTGATACATAGGCATGTATTGTTATCTAATATAACTTCAGATGTTTTTTTCGATGCCAAGGCTTTTTAACAATAAAAGACCAAGAGGTTGATGAAAGAATTAACTGATATATGTTGATTGATATAATTCACTGTTGTCATGCACAGAGGATTTTTATATATGTTGGTTTATACAAGGAGACAGAATACACCATGGTCTGAAGTGCATATCTAAAAACAACATACTTTGTTCAAAGGATTAGCTGGTAAAAAAAAAGACAAATTGATTGCTCATTGTAATCTAACTAATGGATTTGTTTTTCTATTTTTTTTGCTTTATGCCTATCTGAAACTCTGAAATGAACGTATGTGACCTGTTTAAAAAACAAACATGACCTACTCGTGTAATATCCCCAAATGCTATATATCTATAACAAAGCCCCATGACATCAAACACATTTCCTTTCAGCTGCATACGTATGGGCATAGTTCCTTTGTCTTGAAAATGAACCTACAGGATTCAAACTGAGAAGAGCATCAGTGCCACATTGGCTGAAAAGAGAAACAAACAATTCCTCTTGTTGGCAAAGGTCATTTACTTAAAGGTCACATGTAACCAAAAATCAAACATAATTAAAACACAATTATCACTTATTCATGACATATAATATAATTTGCCGATTATGAAAAAACGTATAAACAAAATTATAAGCGTAAAATCGCAAATCAAAAGTGCAATATTTTGTACTTGAAACGAAGCTCCCGGGATACCGAACCCAGTTAGAGCGGGTGGGTGTGCTCTCAAGTGTAACGAACACTTTCACTGGCTGGTTCATTTTCCGATGCCCTCACGGCTCATTGTGTGTGTACATGTAGAGATGTTGGGTGTTGTAAATACATGCAATTTTTTGTTTATAACATTTTGCAATCAACAGACATAACTTGTCATGTGTACAAGTATCACGCCTGCCTGTCTGTGTAATTACATAATGTGACAAAGACAGAACTCAAGTGCACGAGCCATAAATCAATGTGTTTTGTTTATGGTGTATAGCCTGATTGGTGTTAAGTTCAAATTGCATGTGGTCAGTGATCGAAGTTGCATATTATCATTAGCAGACAGGCAGGCAGACACATAGGTGTCAATAAAACACACATTGAGTTTTGTCTGTGACAAAGACATATCTTTATCACAGTTAGAAATTCTGTCAATGCTAAATAATGACATTGCTTTTAAGTATCGAACTAAGAAAGTGACTAGGTAAGAAGAACCAGACATCCTGCTTCCAAGCTGAGCAAATCTATTCACTGTGCATTCGCTATGAGCGCAGCCCAGCGCTGTTGATACCACTTTTTCCCCCCAAATTCAGGGTGAATTTAGTGTATTGTTTGAACTCCGATTTCGGGTGTGGGTGTGTGTGTGTGTGGGTGTTTCATCGAGCTTTTTTTTCAACTTTATACGTTGAATTTGCTGTTTTGATGATTTGTATCTGTAATTCCATATCGAAAAGTATCAGAATCTGCAAAGTTGTGTGTTATGTTGCATGTGACCTTTAAAGACAAATGTGCATTTTGAAAGTGCTGCATCTCGCGCCATATCTGTCGCCGCTGTTCAGCCATGTTAGTTTGGATATGCTTGAGGATGCAGGCACTGAAATACACTTTCTGGAAAAATGTTCACAACACAGCCAGTAAAAAGAAATAAACTGTTTGTTAGTTTGTTAAATACACAAACATTGTGTACATTGGGCAAGGGCAGCTCTTGCTATCCAGCAAATGGTCATGATTTCTGTGGCATTTTAGCAACATATACAATATTCTGGAAAGATGTATTGACAGACTGATCCGCAGATAAAGTCATATGTTAAATGAGGAATCAGATCTGATGTGCCAGTCTTTATTGTGAGACACCTATGTTATGACAGCAGATAAAACAATATTAAAAACTAAGTGGTTTGTGAAAGGGGTTGTGCTATAAATAACAACATTTCGTTGTTTCTTTGTTTCACACTGAATTTTCTGGCATCTGATTTTACATATTGTTTTATCTTGAAACATAATGCCATAATCACAAGAATAAAGCTAATGTTAAAAAGAAGATGGCCAGTTAGTCTATCATTGTTGATCATAGACTATACAGTCTGTTTGGGTCAAAATGATACCAATCAATTGCAATCTAACTCCAAATCGGTTCATGATGAAACATTCAACATTTATTTCAAAGCAGAATGTAATGAAAACATCAGAACAACTCTGGAAAAAGGTTTCATATCGTTTGTCTCTAAAATAGAAAAAAGTTACTCACATTTCAAAATTTAAAACAAAATGATGATAATTTGTTAAGACCAATTTTCAATACTCCTATCATTCTCACTATGTACAAGTAGAGCTTTTTATGAGTTGATCAAAATACTTTTGAATTATTCATGTTTTTCTCAAGAATTTGTGTTGTTGTTTATTCTTAAAATATATTCAGCATTCTTTATTCTACATGTGTCAGTCTACTGATTCTGGGTCCACTGATAATCTTTAATGAAACCAAGTCTTGTTTCCTTTTAAATATATTTAAACACCAAACATCTTTATTTGTTTTAATAACTCACTGCAACTATCATACCACTGATGATATGCTTTGTTTCTCATCATATCTGATGCTGCCTTACATTAGGCTTTAGTAATAAAGCTAATTAAATCTATGGTAATGAGTTCAGTATCTGCTACCATTTCAAGCAAATAAATACTTTACCTGATAATAAGTTACATCCAAAGTTATAGTTTAATAATTTGACCACTTTCAATCTGTTCTTGTAATGTATGTAATTCCATTTTGAGAGGAAAATGTGAATACTCAGAGCATAGGTGTATGTCTAAACTACTACAGAATCAAATAACTCAGATGAACATATTATATAATCAATCACATTAGCACCTTGATGTCCTATAAAATCCCCAACACATGATATGTATCTTCCATTCATACCATGAATGTCAAGAATACAGCATAATACAGATTATAGTGGAATCCACAGAAATCCCATATTTCAAATATGTATAGGTTAATCACCCTTACAAGGTAGTTGTTTAAATAAACTCTGCGAGGGCTATAGCCCAAGCAGAGTATTTTTAAATAACTACCATAGTGAGGGTAATTAACGGCTTACACCATGAGGGCATACTTATTTAATACACGTGTAATGTATTAGGCATGATGAAGATTATCAAAATGAGTACAATTTTAATGTTTTTGAATAGAAATAATTGTCCTAGTGCAGTTATTCGTTTCTGCTAATAAAACACTTCCAAGAACAATGGACATAACTTTCCCTAGTGGTTTAATCAAGGATTATACTTCAACAAAATAAGGTAGCATATCAGTTCTTGAGTTAAAATTACCCCCGATGATAAGACTCAAGCCCTCACAGTTAGATGGAATATACAACATACCTTCTTGTAACAGTAATATACTGTTTTCACATTGATTTAAAAGGTTATCATACCAGGTTGATGACTTTGGATGAATATATACACATGAATGTAACAGGTCTTTCTGTGAAACCTTATGAAGTTTTTCTAGTAAATTAAATACCACTATCCAAAACTTGGGTCCACTTAACAAAAGTTTCCCCACCATCCTTTGAGTATCTGTTAAAATCACTCAGATCTGTCTCTTTTAACCATGTTTCAATTAGCTATATCAAATAAGTTTGAAACTTAATAGATTTACAAATCATCCAGCTTGGAATTTTTGTCTAGACACCTGCCAGAAATTATATTTCCAGTTCTAGTCAACAAAGAGGAAATTTCAGACAAAAGCAAAAGTTGGGGAGCATTGTTCTGATTTTGACATGTAGCAAATCAGTTGTTTGTTTACATGTTCACAAATCTCACCTTCAGAGCATGATGTGGTGCTATGAGAGTAGCTACTGTAGATTTTAATATGTGTTGTTAACCTGACAGATAACTTTGACTGTCAGTCAGTCAGTCATTGGTGCGTTTTGCTAATCGCCTACTGAGCACAGTACATATATAGGACAAATCGTCGGCTCCGTTTTGACTGAAACGGTGATTGATTAGTCTGTTCCCAGTATCTCCAAATGAATGGTACATACCCATCACGATACAGATTATGATCCCAGCCTGATCTCCCGTTGACACTGTCATAGCTCTTCGCGACTACTCAGTTAATGTTCACTAGCTTGTAGCCATACGGCTTCGTGTACGTTCAACTTCCGTGTTCAAGAAATCAATTAACCCTCTGCGTGCCGAGTCATTTTTCTGACGCACATTTATAACAGTGCTGAACAGTACTGTAAACGTAGTAAAAAAAAGTGATCACGCAGCACTGGATCTACCTACTGAAATTACGCAGAGATGTAGAATATTACATTTCCAATTAAAATATGAAAAATATTTTGCAAACATAATTATTTTGCGTTAAAAAAAATCGCCACAGATTTGTTCGTACAAAGATTGTATCTTTCAGGCAAATTGCATACAGTACAACTATTACTACTACTCCCTCCTGGTATATATACCTAACTTCTGTGTACTCACTTGTAACTATATTATTATATTATTATTAATATAGTATATTTATATAGCGCACATATCCACGCAACTGGTGCATGCTCAACGCGCTGGTATTTTTCCCTCGGTCATTGGATGTCAATTTCAACGGCACATCGCATTATGAATCTCAACTCCCTGGGGTGTATACAACTCTTGCTGCAACTAGGCGCACCGAGTTATTGTGGTTTTCTCCTCCTAACGAGGTACCCATTCACAGCTGGGTGGACTGGGACACATAGTCACAGTACTTTGTCCAAGTTTACTGCACGTTGCTGTACCCGTAACTAGGTGTTTGCACGTATTCATGTGGCCACCATCTGGTCATATACCAACGGATTCGTGGGTTCTTTTAAGTGCACAAGGATGTGACAACACTGAAAGAGTCTGCACACAAAGTTGACTCCAAGGTTTTTACACCCGGTCACCGCCCCTTCATTTATCATAAATAATTTTCAGAATGACACAGAAACCCCTGTTTACACTCATATGATAGCACATGTAGAGGGCATTAATTCATTTGAAGGTATGTTACCATTACCAACTGTGACTAGGTCAAACAACCATTCGCAAAAACACTGTCCATTCATAAAGTTTCACCCAAGATTTTATGGGCGCTTCATTATTACTAAATTTGGCAATGTTTGTTGAGAGTCATCAATGTAAGTTGGACTATGATGCTCATTATTGTGTAAACAATATAAGGATGGATTTGGCACCACCTACCAAAAGAATCCGCCCAGTCCCACCAGATATAGGACATTGTATTCTCTGTCATAGACAGCTTGCTGAAAAAGGGAAAGAGGCATCAAATATTGTAAGAAAACCCACAGTAGATGGACTGCAAGCATTGTTTACAGCTTCTGAAGTACGTCTGGATGAAGCCTATCATCATCTATTGCCATTCAAAGATGATATTTTAACAGGGACTATTGAAGTTGCTTTTCACAAGTCTTGTCGAGCATCGTATTCCAGCAAATCCAATTTGAAGCATGAACATGTAGACAACAGTCAAATATCTGACAACACACAGTCTGATGAATCCATATACAACAACACCCGCTTAAGCAGAAATGACACATCATCATTTAAAGAACCAATAAACTTTGTTTTTTGTTACTCTTTTAACCATTACATATGAAAGATTTGTGGTTAAAGTACTGTCGGAAATGCTAGAAAAATGCTTTTTAGCCGTAATATCTTTATAAAGGTAATAAATGTACTATGTTGTCAATATATCAACTCGTCTATTGTCTACCTAAATTTTATTTCAATCGATTTAACATTCCCATGCATTTAAAGGGCACTTTACAGGAGAGAATTTGGTACCAAAACAGCAACTTAATATTTTCAACAACAGAAATCTGAAATAGTCTTTACATTTATGCTAATAATACAGGTGGTGTAAAAATATGAATTAACGTTTTTCCTAAATACATAAATATTCAATGTTTGTGTTACTTTACTTAATCATCGTTTCTTTATTGAAGAAATATTATCAGAAATGTTAAGTCTTGATAAATAAGTTTCCCGTCATGCATGCATATCTTTATCACAGCGTCCACTATGGCCAACGATTTACAGTCGATTGTTGCAAAGGTTTATAGTTTTTTTTCTGCTTAAAAAAGACAGAGGTAAACCTTTCATTAGTTTAGAAAGGGTTTATTACAGAACTTGTAGAGCCGTTGGCATGTCTTACCAACAAGTTACAATATTGTAAACAAATCAGACAAGACAGGGACCGTCTCAAATGCAAAACCGGGACGTAAAACCATCCTTGACAACTTTGACAACGGAGTGCTTAGACGGGCGGTCTACAAACTTTATGAGAAGAAAAATATACATATTCTAAAGAAGCTACACCAGTGACTTCGTTAAATCTTTGGCCAATGTTCACAACTAGATTAAACTGACCGAATTACATCCATATGTTTTCAATGAAATATACTGTTGACATGCAAAACATTTATTAAAACGTTGCACATTTCTACAATCAATCGATAAGATAACACTAGTGATTGGACTCTTTCCAATGTACAGTAATTCGTACTTTTATTTCAAAACAAACACACATACACAAATGATCCCTTACTTAACCGATACGTATACTATACGTACACATATTCAACATTTTGCAGAAAACATCTATTGAGATGACCCCTCGTACGAGCGTGTGCTCACCTGTTGATACCGTGGATGCTGATGACGTAACACAGGCAATTAATGTTTGTATCAAATAACGTCCCACTACCCCTTATTTATCTAAGTTTTTGGTATTTTCATCAGTAAAAACACATTTTAGGGCATGTCTCAAAATTTATTCTCTCGGTCTACATTAGGTAGATGTTTCTTGAAGTGATATTTGTTATTTAAGTAACTGTAATACATCTGAATTTTAAATAAAAGTCAAAAAGCATTTTTCTAGCATTTCCGACAGTACTTTAGTCTTATGCGGAACACCAAATTTATTCTTTAAAAACTTGTGGTTAATTAATACCGAGCGATTAAAAGTGGCCAAAAAGTCGCCTGCTTCCCTCTCGCCCGCCAACGAAACCACACACAGGTTACGTAACTCTGTCGCCAGAGCACTGCAGTGACGTCATATGAGGAACGATGTTCAGTTAGTTGTATAAAAAATGTGTAGCACGCTCATCATTTTGATGATTTCTCGACATCAACGACGACATGCCGAATCGTTGCTTTGTCGTCAATTGCTCCTAGGGGTCGGGCGATGGTAGTAGTAAGGGGCCAGCGCTTTTCCGAGGTGACGTAATATGCCCTCGGGGAAGCGCTGGCCCAACACCATGACGTCACGGGGAGGTGTTGACCTCCCCGTGACGTCGGAAAAAGACTCGCCACCACCATAACGTCACGGGGAGGTGTTGACCTCCTCGTGACGTCGGAAAAAGACTCGCCACCACCATGACGTCACGTTGACCGCCCCGTGACGTCGGAAAAAAGACTCGCCACCACTATGACGTTGACCATCCCGTGACGTAGGAAAAAGACCCACCATCATGACGTCACGGGGAGGCGATGACGGAAAAGAGGAGCTAACCACGCTATGACGTCACAGTGTCTGACGTAGGAAAAAAGGCGCTGACTCACAATCTCTGTGACATCACACACACACAAATGGCGACCATAAGAATCCGAGTGCGTCCGTCAAATAATCTCCACCTCACCGTTAGCATACCATTAAATTTTGAAGGTGGCTAGGGAATGTCGTACAGTCTATATAAAGCTCTCTACAATACTAGACCACAAGACATACCTAGACACTCTTAATCACGCGTCTGTGTAAAGCTCTCTACAATACTAGACCGCAAGACATACCTAGACACTCTTAATCACGCGTCTGTGTAAAGCTCTCTACAATACAAGACGGTGATATTCTACATAAAAACAAATCTGTGAGGTAGAAAAAGCATTACGGAGTGTTACGTTCTTTACCTCGTATAGTAAACCCCAAACAGGGAACAATTTTTGAAAAAGAGGTCTGTAAATGTCGTGCTGTCGGTGTAAAGCTCTCTACAATACAAGGCAGCAAAACAAATGTATCAAGACGCTCAATAACACACCCTACGGTTTATGCAAAGCTGTCTACAATACATCACGGGAAGGCGGTTATATTCTACCATCGAGTCGGACAGTCTATGTTAAGCTCTCTACAATACAAGACCGCACGAGCATCGTATTCTTCATTGTTTAAAACCATCCCCCCAAAAAATGTACCCACGAGGTACACATCGTCAACACTTTTCTTTTATAAAACACAACAGAGACAAGTAAACAACATTTCACAAATTTTATTCCTAAATATGCTTAGATTACATTGTATAACTCACAATTCAGCTCTCAGTTCACAAATAAGTCCTCGTATCACTGTCGAATTTGAAGGGACACGTAATTTTCAGGAATGAGCACGATGGTCTAAACCTGTGATGTTCAAAGTCGATATCATCCTCGGCACACCATTTCCACAATCGTAATCCACACCAGGCACACGCGACCTTGTCCGAAACACCGGTATAATAAAACCCTCTCCGGGCTAGCTGTCTACCCTTCTGAACCAGCTGAAAAGTAGCCATTCTGTCGTAGCCACATAACATCGTTTGGTGACAGTAGTTCTGACTTAAATCGACCAGCAGCTTTCTATGCACTACCGATGGTTGTGGACAGGTCAGTCAGTCATGGGGTAACGACGTGCGTGACATCATCGTCAATCCCTCCGTGGGAGGCCGAGCTGTCAGGTTAGCGACGGTGGGGTGACAGCATCGTCAATCCCCGGGGGGCACACGCCAATCCACACCCCGAGGCACTAAGGACCCGTACACCACGCTTCGTTATACGAGCGTGTCGGAGCAAACACGCGCGGGTCTCTGCCACCGTTAATCAAAACAGAATCCACTAAGAATACACAACCTTACTCCCGCGCCTATTTAGAATGTTTCGAGCATACGTTTCACACTATCATCGTACCATCTGAAAACCATCGAGTCGTTCTTAAGCGTGTTCTTTTGACTGTAATGTTTCACTATCTCGTCGTTGGAAATACCCCTAGAACGACAGCTACTGAAATATAGGCTATGGTGTCCGCAAGCTACAGACGATAGACTCTGCACGCGGACTCTATTGTAGGTATATTGCAAACGACCATATTTTGACACAAAATCGTGAAATT